TTCGACTGCACTTCCTGGTGGAAAGAAATCATGCAATGTACTAAGTAAATACATATAGAGCTACACGTCGTCGTAGTGCAGTCCGAGCTGCGGACCACAAAACGATCACCCTACACGTGTTCTACTGTGCAACTACTTGAACTTAGTGATACTCGTGCCGTCTTGGCTTGGGAAACTGCATGTCAGTAGTATCAAATCTCCACATACTGATACAATGTAGATCGCCATTGGTGGTAGATGATTTACATGTAGCTGGGCCAAACTACCGGTATTCCTTCCACAGGACATTCCTCATTGACGCCTTGCATGAGAAAGAGCAATAGCGTCAAAAGCTGTCTACGGATATGAATGGCACGGCTCACGGGAAAAAAACTGTGGCCATTCACATTTCCTGGAGGTGACAATTATGGGGTGAGAATAGAGACACGAATCGAGATGCGCCTAATCCCAGACGGTTGTGTGTGATTTCGTTGATCCTGGAAAAGGTTTCACCGCCTAGCAAACAACTTTACAGTTGATCTTCGTTTGCATGCATGGACCTGATCTTTCAAAATTATGCCGGTGTGATCGTTAGGCTGTCATAACACAGCGATTCAGATTTGACTGGTTCATGATACAGCCTATCCAGTGATATACACTATATCTATCCAGTGAGCCATGGGACTGATGGACTCTCTGTTCATTTCTCTGGCAATGTCAATATTTTCTTTGTTATGGAATCTGGGGCTAGCAATGCAAACACGCGCCCGCAACCGTCGTGGGACAAGGAGTACATGGAGGTTGTTTGCCTGATGGGCTCAAACACATCTTCCTAATTTCGTTACTATACTAGCACTGCACGCGACAACTCCGTTTCCAGATTCTCGATGTGCCGAAGAACGTGCTAGCGATATGGTGCGAATATGAGAGCGGACGCCATCTGCCCCCTCTACGAGTACAGTGTTTGGCGACAGCTTATGCCCGCTCCTCCTGCACGCGCTTCCAGATGGTGTCACCACGCCTTCAGCATCTCTCACGATGTTCGCCACTGTGCTGCTCAGTTGGTGTGACGTTTCTGCGAAAAAGGGTCCCGACATCCGGGCTCCGAGTTCTGGCAAATATGGCCATAGTAAACGAACCGTGGTCGGGATCCCGGGAAGCAACCACGATTCGTTGCGGTTTGGTGGTCGTCTGCTCTTCTTGCTGGACGATCTGAGACTGATTCAGCATTGACAAGTGGTGGCTGCGAACACGTGTAACTTCGCTTACTAATCATGTCAACCACTTGTCTGCTAGCCACACTGGCAGTTCACTTACTACATGTACACACTGTACATGTATGCCGGTAGAGAGCGCGCAGGTATGCCGAGGCTGCCTATTCTCTTCAATCCTCCCATCACGGCAGTGATACGTGTGGATAAGTGAGATGTCTGGCAGTTATCCATGGTTCACTTACTCAGTCTCAGGGGACATCGAGTGCATTGCGCACCTACCGCCGCTCCAACCCACCCTGGTCGTAAATGAAATCCAACAGCATGGAAAGAGCGAAACCGCGTTCACGGCACAGCCCAATATTCGTAGTGATAGGGCTAGCTAAGCAAACCCGACGATGTTATGTTCCTGAAATCGGATTTCGCTTGCCAGCTCTTTTTCCACTTGCACTTGAACTGCGGTAGGCAGCCTTCATCTAGACATTGGTGTCAGAACATTGCCACGTCCAAATGTTCCTCATCATGTGCACGGTCTAGCGGAGGAAACCACCAACATCATCTTCATGAAGTTCAGCCCTGTGGTGAAGGAATCAGATGCACGTTTCCACGTTCCGAGCGAGTTCACTTGGAAGTGGCGAACACCATAGTATGTACATGTACGTGCGAATGTGGGAATCGTCGCCGACTGGTATTACTGGCATGCGACTCTAATTATGACACAAATGATACCGGTATCAGAGCGTCCGGACTGTGCTAAAGAGAAGTAACAGTTACATTGTAATACTGGTGTTGACAGATCCTCGATGGTGCCTTTGTCTTTGCCAGGCCAATGGGCTATGTCAGCCCGTTGTTGTCTTGTTGTTCACTCACTGTATGAGTAATGACAAGTAATGGTATTGCATTGTCCGCTAGACTGCCACTGGCTGGCAGTACATGTACATGTACATGTACATACCCTTGCCAGGGAAAGAGCTATTGACGCTAATCATTATTACACTTACATTAATTTTGAAATGAGCACCGTCTGTCGCGGGTACCCGACTGATCTCAGTGCCAGTGGTCGCATCGCCCGCATCGGTCCATTATGGTTATTCATGACGTCTTCATGAATCATGGCGTCATCTCTAGGACTAGGAGTACATACACCTCAGTACAGTCATGTACATGCATATCAACTGTTTTTTGTTCGGGGGTAATGGCCTCTTTTACGGGCAAGATAAAGACTTAGTCATGTAGACGTAAAAAAATAGTGCATATCAACTGTGAATACAGTCATGTGGTACAATGTACAGACTTTACTTATCACATTCTTCCTTTCATGTTTTCTGTACTTGTGAAGTTGTGTTCTACTCCTCCATGTACAATGTATACACTGTACAGTTACTAGTAGTAGTAGTAGAGGGAAGTGTGATGTTGGATAATAAGATTATTTTCACATGGCGAAAGATAATATTGGGCACTACAATCATCATGACTTGTTACATTGTACAAATATAGTTGATGATCTACAATGTACACAAAGGCAGAAGAGAACAGAGTTGATGATCTACAATGTACATGTACTTCAGTACATTGTACAATGACTGGATACTACTAGTACTTTTCAGCAGCACACTACTAGATTGTACGTGCTAGTACTGCGATGCAGCACATCAGTCTCTATATTTACCTCAACTGGAGTGACAGTGCGTGCATATTGCGATGTTTATAGCCAGACAAATCACTTCACGTCCAATGACTACATGTAATATGCCTCACTATCAGTATCAGCTGCTGTACAACGACCCTATCCCGGACAGAGTTACCAATCCGGGAAAGTCCACACGGAATATTCTTTTGACGTTGCACAGCCACAAGGCCGACCCAGATAAATGATATCAGCGTGCCAGTTTCATTTCAGGCTTTGGCTGTTGCGCCAGTGATCTAGTGACTGATGTCTTGCATCATGATTACCCGCGTCCCGTACAAGAGACACGCAGTCAGTGATGCGAGTTCAATACTAGCAAAATAGTTGAACAAAATTAATTGGTACCAATACCAATGCCAATGCATTCACCACTGCGATCCGAAAGGCTATACAGCTGCACCAGCACGTATCAGCAGCCAGCACCACCAGTGACCAGACAAAGAAGAACTACCGTATGGTACCGGAATACCGTCACCGCAGGCTTCTGCTAGCCTGAGAAAATCACCAGCGGTTCTCACTGGCCTGTGCCTGATGTTGAAAGCAGCGGTTGGGAATGTCTCGCCCACTAGCCCCGCATAGTGTGAAGAAGAATGCACAGCTCTCGCCACTGCGGGCACTGGCTCGTATGGTGGTGGGCGTGCTACTCGCTCGCCTCGCTCCTCGCACCCAGAGGTGAGAGTACAGGTGCACCTTTGCCAAGTTTGGGCATAACCGGCACTGGATCTTCAACACAGCTGCGGCAAGATGGCCGTCTCGGAAATTGTATTCTCGCCTTGTCATTTCTTTGTGTTTGCCAGCAACCACCGTGCTGCGCAGCATGTCAACAGTCCGCGTACAAGTAAGTTGACTAGAACAATGTTCTTACACCAGGAAAAAACAGGGCGAGTGTAATCACAGTATTCACGGAGATCCGCAACAAGGTATTCCACGCACCGCGAAAACAGTTCCTGTACGTCACTATGCGTTGGCGATTATGTGTGACTATCACCTCACCGATTGTACACCCAACACACACCCGAAGTGTACAGTAGGTGTATTGTAGGTGTATTGTACTTGTAGGTGTATTGCTGAATACATGTACAGTGATAACTAACTTAGTTTACTTATTTACACGTTGTGTGAATCGCCTATGTACACGATTGTACATGACTGTCCTCTCATCACACTGACGCATACACGGACAAGCAAACGCAAACTCACATGCACATGCACACACACACATAATTATATTTATAATAAGAATAATACGCACGCACACACCACTCGTACGATCGTAAACGTACAGGTATACCTGTACACGTCCGCTGTCAATATGGTGATATCACTGATCGGGATGAAACGGAGAGTAAAGTTATGCTGGAGTAACAACCATGACTATGTACAATCATGTACATGTATATGAGTAAAAATAATGGTCAGTACACATGGTGACTTTGAGTCGTTAGTGTTACTTTCAAAGCCCAAGGGATTGATTCCCAGCCTTGAACGGTGGACCTACATTGTGCATTACACATTATGTCAGTATGAATATGGTATGTGTAGAACATGCTCTGCTATTAGATCACAACGTGGCAACTAGCACACTACCTCCGCCAGGCGAATACCGGAATGCCAATGACAAACGATAGCACATAATCCTAACTTATTGCCTCAAACAACCATGACAACCGCACGCGCCTTTTAGACTGACTTCCGTTTTCACTTTTTGGGACAAAGGCAAGCAAGGTCACCTGGCTGCACGATGACTCATCCTGTTGTGGTTGTACCGGCTCAGTGGCTGGAGCTCCTTTTTTCCTTAGGCAAAGCCAGTAACGTTATAATGCCAAACAGGATGACAAGAACATTTCAATGAAAATACACTGTTGTATGTGTGAATGAAGATACATGTAGTGGTGGGGTTGCAACAAAACCATTGCTGGAAATTTCGGACGGACAATCATGTATCATTAGAAGAAGGTTGCGGTACCGTATCCCTCACGGTCGGTGGAAAGGTGACAAGACACGTCGTTCCCCCCGCGTGTACAGTGTGTTCCTGAGCACTTACTTTCAGTGTGGGACAAGGGCTTCGACCTGCACGCCCTACTCACTGTGTGGGTGACGACAATATTCGGCCAACCGCATACTAGCAGACAAGAAAGCGTCAAATACACCGCGGCAAATCCGGTGAAGTGAAGGTCGTCACGACGAGTGCCCCAAAGTCCCACATGAAGACAATTCAGGGACGAAGGCAAAACTGCATGTTCATGGAGGAGAATGATTGATATTCGTTCATATAATGCTATGGTGAACAGTGGGCGCTACGGGCACATGCACAGCATACTAAGTTTAGTTACGCGGGATATGAGAATGCGTGAACATGCAGCAGTGCGTGAAAAGTGCCCCAATACTGAATTCGGCAGAAATAATAATTATTATTATAATGCTTATACTTAGACGGCCCTTATTGGAAGATGAAATTATTATAGAGCGAGTTGAATAGTCCAATCCGAAGAATGCAAATACAAAGGTTGCTATGCATGCTAGAATGAAGGAGAATATAGTTTCTTTAGGGATTACCTTAGCTTACCTAGCTTAGCAAAGTACACTGCGTACTGTACGGATTGGTTTCATTGGAATTAGAGAGCCAGTTCATTCTTTCTTCCAGTCAAGGTCAAAACAAAAATAGTACATTACATACATGACGTGCAGTCACATGTATTCGCAAGCTAGCTCCTTCTACCAGGCAATAACAGTTCCACATCCATATCTTTCTATTTCATGTGCATGTATAGTTATAAATCTATATCCTTGGAAGACAGCGAATGCATGAAAATAGCGAGTTGGCGATTTGAGCGTTTGAACCAAGAGAAATAGAACTTTGTGTTGTGCAGAAAAACGGAAGAAAAACATTGGTTACTGTTCTGGGATTCCGGACACTGCGCGGTTGTTGTTGCGCGGTCACAGCTCATCGGGCACTGGGATGCTGTTTCAAGCTCAGGTTCTTGGCTTTTTCGTGGGTCTTGATATGTTTGGAGAGATGATCGCTGCGCATGAATCTCTTCGAGCAGGTCGGGCAAATGAAGCGTTTCTCACCGGTGTGAGTACGAGAGTGGCGCTGCAGTTCGTCAGAGCGAGTGAAGCGCTTTCCGCAGTAGGGCCACGTGCAGGCGAATGGACGCTCTCCAGTATGCCAGCGGAGATGCGCGCGAAGGTGCGACGTCTTGCCATAGAGCTTCTGGCAAAGATGACAGATGTGGATACGCTTGACTCCCTTCTCCGACTTTATGGGTCTGCCCTGGGGATCTCGACAGTGTGGACAGGTGCAGGCGATCCGTCTCATTCTCTTTCTCTTCAGGTACATGGGTGTACGGTGCAGCAGTTCGGGTGGACCGCCATTGGCAGCAGTCCAGGCAGGTTGATAGTGTGCATTGTGGTCTGGCGCAGTGGCAGCAATGGTCAGAGGGTATGCCATGCCCCGGTGAGGAGATTCGTAGGCCGGTGGTTGAATCATCCTGGTCGCAGTCGTGCCATGTCCTGTGACTAGATGTTGTACTTGCTGCACGCACGCCATTGCACCGTCCGCCTCAGATGTTGGTGCTGTTGCTGGACCCGCTACAGACCACTCTTGGCTGTTGCCGCAGTGGCCAGTGTTTGTGTGATGGACGGAGAGATGGCTGTAGTCAGCCTTGGTGACGAATGTTGCTGGTGGGTTGAAGTATCGAGGAGTTAGAGCTGGCGGTGATTGATAGGGACCTAAATCATACTCATTCTGTTGTTGCTGTTGTTGATGGTGTTGTGGCTGCTGCTGCTGACTTCGGTGACTCTCCGGGCTATGCACAGAGTCTGGGGTCATGATTGCAGTGGGCAGATCAGCCGAGTAGTCAGTGACCGGTGAGGCTGTGATACCACGAGGACTGGCTGGTACAGCTGCAGCACTGATAGATGGTACCTGTGTCTGTTGATGATGATGATGATGGTGATGATGATGCTGTTGGTGATGGTTTGCTCCTGCTGCTGTGTAGTCTTCGAGTGTAGCTGGAGACGCTGGTACTGCTGCTATTGCCGCTAAGCCACAGGTACTGCCGTTAACAACCCAATGCTGAGAGGGCGCCGATGTTACTGTGGCTGGTAGGACGGAAGTGGACAGAGGCGCGGACGGTAGGAGAGAATAGTCTCCAGCTTGTGCCAGACTAACTGTACCAGCGCGATGTTCCAGAGCCGTGCTACCCGCCGTCAGCATTGCCAGTTGAGGCGATCCTGATGCAGTAACTGCTGCTGCTGCGGGAAGGCCTTGTCCGTCCTACAGAAATCCAACCACAGAAACACAAGGAAGACTGGAGAGAGTCAGTTCTAGGCAACAGAGTTATACACTGAGCTTACATCAGAACATACAGGTTAGGTAACAGGCCGCAGACAGAAAGCTGCACGAGATCAGCATAATAGCAGTACACCAATAGGATCCGTGTCCAGTTTCGTGCAGACCAACGGGGGACTTGAAATGACAGCATCTTTATCCTCTCATATTTCAGACACCTAGACACCGCTAGTAACAGTACACTGTCGCGCACTGCCACCACATCTATTATAATACTAGGAGTGTTGACTATTGCAACATCGCACGGGCACAATCTGTCACTTTACAATTACACTAACGCTCCTAGTCAAGAACCAGTACGGAAACAATTCCAGAAATCGGCCTCAGGCCTGATGGGGCTGGAGAAAGCAGGAACTGCAAATGGGGAGAGGTGATCGGTCGAGGAAGGAAGATGCCTTGATGTCTTACCGTGGGATGTCCCCCAAGCAGACGACTTCCATAGTCGAGCATAGCGTTGAAGTGTTGGGGTGACGGACTGAGTGTGTGATTGCCTCCAGTAGGAATGGCAACACACCGACCTTACACACAAGTGCCTGGCAAGAGGGACAGGGAACGGTCGAGTAACGGTCACTGCTAAACCGCTTCGGGCTGCTCAGGATGTTCCGTCTTGGACTGGCGCGCGCACCGAACGGAATTGAAACTGAAGTAGTTTTCGGTAGACCGCCGCTTTATGACAGTCAATGAACGCTACGCAGAGTAGTGAACTTTGAAGTAGTGCTTTGCCAACTCTCTCACCAGCAGCAGCACCAGAACAATAGTAATCAGTTAGTGTTGACAGTTTCACAGACTGATTGCGGAACTTTTTCCTACCCTACAACTTATATAATCATCATCCGGGCCATGTCATTGTATCTCCGTTTCATGATGTTTGTCATCATTCTGCTCTGCCTGCTATGCTGCATGCACGACATTCGCATGGCTCGAGCGACTCCTAGCATTCTGACAGTGTTGTCGCCCATCTCCTGCATGGCCGCGAAAGTACCCGTACTGGCCGTAGTCTAGTTCGTAGATCTATGGCATGCATGCTATACAGTGGTGCAGGCTACAAAGGTCCACACCATACACGCTGCCAGTAATGCTGCTGGCAACTTTCTTCAATCGATCAACGAACGTTCGAACCTGGATCGGAGTGTTCCCAGCCTATCGACCACACACCACTGGCCAGCCACCTCGCATTCGTAGGAATACGCGGGCCTGACGAGACCAAGCCAATGCGCCGAGGGCCGAAGCACGGACTGCTCGCAGGTGTGAAAAGACTGCTGTCAACGATCAATCGACATGGCTCGCGGAGTCCACGAGTCACACTCGCACTGTCCCAGCTAAGCACTACACTGGCATGGCTGTCACACGCCGAACGCCGGCCAAGTGCGAGCTGGCCAGTGATTAGCACCACGAAAACACCGTGCACATGCGCGATGATCTGCATGAATTCTTGGCCTGAAGTCTTTCTCTGGGAGATTTGGCTTGTTTAGTGGTGGTGCCCTATCTCTTGTCCATTTGTTGCAGTTGCTTATTGCTAGGGTGTGCGTGATCGTGGTCGTTGGTCTGCAGATAGGCAGAGAAGATTTGTTTGCTGTTCTCGCCGCCCTATCTAGCCGCCGACAATGATCACATACTATTATTGTGTGTGTGTATGTGTGTGTGTGCGTCCTAACTGCAGATTGTTCAACATGATCGCCACTTTCTGTGACCCCCTCACTAGATACAGGGTACTGTGCCATCCAACAAGACCATCAGTGTCACGATGAGAGTTGAGCACTACACCGACCGTATACACGGGTACACCGCCCGTCACAAATCGTACACGCTTGCCAGTGCAGACTGCAGTGTTTAGTTGGCGATAGCAGCTGCAAGTGCAACGGTTGTGTGCGTTCGTGTAGAGAGGTTCAACGCACACCTTAGCTGGAAAAAAAAGATAACAATCGCTTCTCCATTCCTTGCCGGTTACGTGCTCAACCGGGCTGGACATTTTGCAGTAAATATCTTGAAAACACCTTCTTTTACATGTTGACCACTTTCCATGTGTCTATTCTACTATCGAACATACCTACATAATACATTTTACATTTCGACTAGAAGTTCGTGTCTCACTCACGTCGGACTGTGGTATGGAAGAAACGGCCCAGACAAGTATTCATCAGCGCATTGGTCTTTGCACGTTGTATCTCATTCGAATAGCCGAATAGAATGTTTTCAATTGCTTGTCTCTCTCTCCTGCTCTAGACAATTTCCCCTCCCGTGTGTGGCGCATTAGCTACGTCCTTATATTGTTACCGGCTGCCATGATCGTGAACCAGTTGCGAATGCTCCCAAATTGGGAAATGAATCCACATGATGTACATGTACATGCACGAGCAACGACGTTACGTTTTGCCTGCTAAAAGTGGAAGTCCATACTTCTTCTTCCTCAGCTTTTGCTATGGGAAAGACATAAGTAAATGGTTAGTTCTTGTGGACCTGTGAAGTAAGTCTGTGAAGTAAGTCTTCACATACATTGCACATGTACAATGTATGTACGTTGAACATCATTACATGTACATGTACATGTAGCACTGTACTACCCAGAACACTCAAACCAAGCCAAAATTAAAACTCTCCGGTGTGCTTCTCTACTTTGGCTTTCAAAGACCAGGAAATACAGGTATGGTGGGCTAGGTGGTGAAGTCTGCTGCTCCATGCCCGGACCATGGCTCGACAGTGGTCGGCTTGTGTCTAGGTCGGTGTGCTGGACTCCAGACAACGACATCGTTATGTGGTTGGCAGTGACCTGACAAGCCCTGCCAAAACAATGCGCCACCGAATCCCAGCCAGCTGCCAGCATTCGGCCCAGACAGCTCTGCGCAGGAGTCCCAGCGTGTCAACGACTGTGCGCACGCGGACTGGGCGCTGTGGGTGTGAGACGGTCAGTCCAGACATTGCACCTTCACTCACTGTTTGAGGTTCTAGCAAGTAGCATGCCAATCGGACTAGACCTATGCAGGCGTGAGAACAGAATTCAGTATTCAGTATTCATGATATTTCTTTCCTTTTTCCACAGCCCCAGAACATGAATCGGGATGGGTACCATAAAAACACTTTTGATTCTGTAATATTGTCCCGTTGCGACTATGGAGTATGGTAGTTTACGCCAGGGAGTAGTAAACGCCATGGTATTTTACTAATCCCTGGTGTACATGTACACTCTGGAAGTGGAACTACACTACACTCTACAGGCATTATCTGTGTTATCTGTGCCCAGCCATTGCTGAAGTCAGTAAAATCGCTGCACCTGCAGCTGAACATGAGGAAAGACACGACTCGGCGTGTACAATGTACATTGTACTTTGTAGTTGTGCTGCTATCATGAAGATCATTGTACATTGAGCGCCAACGTGTTACATTTACATGTACATGCACATAGTCATTGTATGTCATGTAGTAATGCTCTACCGGCGGTATTGCCTGCAAAAAGTGAATGCCGTACTCGTCTCAAGCCAATACTATTGGCTTGAGTACGGCATTGACTTTTTGCATTGTAGACTGTAGTAGTCTCAACGGCATTACGATTGACATGAATCAAAGAGGGAAACGAAATGTGCGACTCTGATGTAGTGATGGCCAGCGATTGATTTTCGTTGAATTGCATGATAAAAGTCTATGGAGTCTATGGAGTATGGTCTTTGGCGCTACCTGTTACCTCCTCCGAGTCCTCACAGCGATGCTGCGTGAAATGAAAAAATACTGGCTGAAAGGAACACTTAGCAACACTTGCGCTACACTGGCCACTCATAACACTGTGTTCAGGTGTTCAGGTGTTCAGGTGTGTGATGATGTTACTGATCTATACAAAGTCATGTCATGTACATAAGTCTCGGTCTGCTGGTCTCAACCAGGGCAGGAGTAGCAACTACAGTAAGCGTTCATTGGAAAAGCCAGCGACATAACTAAGATAAATCAAAAAAGTTCGTACATGCTTTGCATAGCCATTCAATTAAATGCACTGAATCATAATCGATACGCTCAGCCTCAGGAATGGAAAGAGTGGCAGCTTGTCTCAGATTCTATCATATTCTCACGCATCTCCTGCAGACACCTTGGACACTGTGGACGGTATACCGGTACACATAGCTCAAATACTAGTGCATGTAGTTGGATCAGCACATCTTAGTTCTAGTTGGACCAGCACATCTTGCTGTGCAGTGTGCGGGTTGGTTTACTGCGGACTACGCTCATGCACACCACAGATAATCTGTTACTGTCTGCTGCAAATGCACATTTTGACAGCTTACTCCTCCCCTGAGGGGTAAGACGTTTTCCCTTCTTCTAGAGCTAGCTACATGACATTGTAGTACAGTACTACAGACTAGAGTACAGTCATGTAAAAATGTAGTTACTTGGCAGCCAGGGTCAGCATCCAAGCCCATCCCCAAGGAAGAGAAGTCGCCCAGGCAATAGCGGCATTACAGACCGACTGATCGTACATGTATGTCGATACTGGTCCAACAACATGGTCCAACTCTGTGTCAGAAACCTCCCCATCAGCAGTCGGCCTTCTGCTACGCAGAATCACGTCCTAGCTTTTTTAGAATCAAGAAAGCTCTGTGATTTCGAAATCTGGTAAATGCTGGACGAAATGATAATACACCTACCCGACAGCATGATTCTACTGCAAAGCAAAGTGCAAAGCAAAGTGCAAAGCAAAGTGACGCAATGAAACGTTCTAATACTAGTACACTCCAGTAGCGTTGTTGCCCTGCCCAAGTCCCAGACAAAATCAGGTTTGCTGATTAGTCCAAGCACGTACTATGTACAATGTACATGTATGATTGTGTCAACGAAACGGCTGATGATGGAAAAGACCTTTAGCCAGTTTAGGGTTAGTTGGACCATGCAGACACCACTGTCATAATGGTCTGGCAAATACCAAGCTCTTGGTCACGCGCAAGAACACAACAATACGCTACGCACTCGGCTAGAAACTACCTACTGTAACAGTTACTGAGTAAACGAACCAGAGTCTAGGCAGAGAGCATTCCACAAGCCAGAGACCCTGTTCCAGGTAACCGGTTCACTTACTCGTGCAAAGCGATGATGTTCCCTCTCACCACCGCCGCGTGATGTCGATTTCCCTTCAACACCCTCCTCAGCTCCAGGGTCATGTACGCTTGCAAAAACGCGAATAGGCTTTGCACTACAAGTCACACTCACAACACAAACGCTGTTGCCTTCTTGTGCTCAACATCAGATTCTTCAGTATTAGTCTTGGTTGTGTCGTGGTCATGTAAAGCTTTCAGCTCCCGAGCAGGATTGTGCGAAAGATAATTGCAACGGGTAGCTACATCAGTACATGTACACGAAGCAGTGGTTTGCTTGTTAGCTCGTAGTTATGGACAATTCACCAGTAGACATTCTCAATGAGAAAATTGCCGGTCTGAATTTGAACACGTGTTTGCAGACATTGAGACAGTTCCTGACACCTCTGAGCAGGCCCAACACCCCCTCTGACTTCAGCAGTCCGCGATGCATGTGCATGTGGGGGGCCTGCGAATTCCCATGCTTCGCACAGCCAAGTCTCTCTTCCTTGCTGTACAGTGTATTGACTCAGACTACTGCTGGCCGTCTGAACATCGAACATTGTACATAACATGCAGCCCCGAGGATACCATAGGCACCTGTAAGTCTTGTACAAATGGGTGTTGCTTGGGCAGAAGTAATATCTAATGATGTACGCTCATGCCCATCATTGCCATTGGTTGGCCCTGACGCTCAGTGACATGTACAGAATAATTATGGCCATTTCATGGTACCGACTGCTCTACTCTACTCAGTCTCTAGTTCGAGCTAATAAAAGACAATGGCTGCTGTCATGTACAACTCAACAGGCTGGTCATCATCTGCCAATGCCAAGTATCCAGGATTCATCGCTGACTTGTAGAAATGACAGTGGAGCGACAGGTTTGGTGATGGCAAAACAACCACGTCAGAACCCCCGCTGAACATGTGCTTTTGGGATGAGGTAGAAAACATTCATTTTTCACAGCGAAGCCTGCAGCGTGTCGCTACCTTGCACGCGCAGATGCGCAGCAGTGCCCAAAAGCCAGGGAAATTGACACCAAGGTGCAAACGGGGAGGA